AACCATTATCAGTAGGGTGCGAACTCCGCCCTCGGGAACCAAACTAATGGCCCCAGGTTCCAGAGAGAGGTAGTCTATTGTCTCCAGCAGCAGGGAGCAGGCCCAGCCCTGCTGTGGGATGAGACAGCAGTCTGGCAGCAAGTGTCTGACTTCTCCCCACACTTTGTGGGCCTGGCAGTGAATGTCCCACTTGTGCCATGCAGCTTCCTACCTGGGAAGCACTGCTCTGGCTAACATTTTGGTGGGAGTTGATGTGAATACCTTCTTACGAAATGCATTGGCTAGAGATGAAGCCACTAGAACAGTAGCAGTCACCTGCGTGTCTGTTCAAACATCATCAGAAGTTGAAGCTGCTGAGGTCTCATCCGGTGCCATCATGAATGTCATGTCTCCTCAACGTTGACTGTTTGCGTGAAAAGACTCATTCCTTCATGTTCAGGTGTGTAAGAATGCCTTCTGGAAAAGTGCTAAGATTCTGTCCAGCTGTGTTGTAGCGCTCCTCTTAGTGGGAGATGGCTGGCTCGGGACTGGGCCAGGTGATGCTGGCATGCCCCGGATGCCTCGCTGCCTCCTTGGTGGGTGAGTCCAGCTGTGTAGGTACAGTGCCTCGGGAGCTGAAGGAGGAAGTGGACTAGGTTTCCTCTTGTTTCAAGATTTAGGAAGTCACTTTTGGGACACATGGTTGAATTCATGTGAATATACTTTGATTAAGGTGGCCTCTTGTTTGAGGAACTCTTACCGTGCTGAGTCATGACAGCATGAGCTGCTAGCTCATGTCGAAGGGGTGTGCTTCCTTCTTTGACATGATTCTGCCCAGTTGCCCTTCCAAATGTCCGGACACCCATTATTCACGGCTTGAGACATGACTGGCCTTTGGAAATGTCAGTCAAATAACAGTAGTGGTGTCTAGTTAGATTTGGTCAGTGAGTACAGTAGAGGGCCAGTGCATTTCTTTCTCTGTGAGCCGTCTGTCCCAGTCACTGTCCCTTGACTGTTACTGCTGGTGCTCGTGTGTGCCACAGCTGCCCTTCCCAGCCCGCTCTAGTCCACGCACTGTTCCACCTCTGAGCTTTTGGTGGTAGGGAGTTAGGGATGCTCCTGCAAGGGTTCCTCATGGGATACAGGGGTCCAGGTCCTAGTCACGTTGGTCAACAACAGGCAAAGTTGCCCACATTTGTCTTAGACTTTTGCCTGTGCTTTTGCAGAACAGACAAGACGGTCATTGGGTGCAGCGGTTTCCATGGCGATTGTCTCACGCTGACGAAGATCATTGAAGCAAGATTAAAGGTGGGGTGTGTGTGTGTGTGTGTGTGTGTGTGTGTGTGTGTGTGTGCGCGCACGTTTGCCTGCCCGCACTGTTAGCTAGTCATGGTTGGCTCTCAAGGCCTGCAGCACAGCTGGCGAGGCAGGTCTGTGCCCAAGGTTTGGGATGAGGCTGCTGGTGGGTCATTGGGGCAGGGCCCTGTTAGGCTGCCCAGCGCTATACAGGGTCTTCTGGCCCTGAAGGGTTGGCAGTGTTTCTTCTGCAGAGGCTCTTCTGTCTGAAGTGGGCAGAGCAAGCCATTGCTGTGTGTGCAGACTGACGGCAGCTCAGCCGAGCTTTTGGTCCAGAGCTTGGTGGGGGGCCGTCACGGGCAGGGCACCACACTGGCCTCTGGACCAGACGGGCATTCTGGAAGAGGAGAGTCAGGAGAGGGAGGACATGAGGGTAGGCTTTGGGTGCAGTTGGAGCAGTTGGTTGGTTCAGATGGTGGGCCTTGTTATCAGCCGAGCACTTGAGCCACTGTGCTACCAGGGCACCTTTGTGGACCTCGCCACACGGGGCACGGAGCACAGTCAGAGGGACTCACACTTGCCTTTTTGTTGGGCAGCAGTGGTTTTGCTCACTGGAGTGGTTTTTCTGGCTTTGGGGACTTTGCCTTCCGGACGTTTTGTTTTATACAGGGCTCTGGTGACCAGACCAGGACATGGGCGGAGTCGTGGTTTGCTAATGCAGTGGAATAAGGAAGGAAGGGCCTGGAAATCTTCTTTCCTGACTTAGTACAAACGCAGCTGACCTCAGGGCCCTTTGTAGCTTTTCCCTGGGAATGCTGTGGGCACTGACTGTGGACCCTCTGGTTTGTCTGCACGGTCTAACTCCTCAGACGGGTGTGCTGTGGCACTGGTGGCAGAAATCAGGGAGCCTGGGTCGTGCACACTTGTGCACGGTCACTTGAAATCTGAGGGTGTGATGGACCCAGTAGGGTGGGAACCTCTGCTGTACTGAGTGCCAGCTGTGGGCACCTGGTCCCTTGTACCTGCTATGGCCCCCTATACCTGCTCTGGGCACCTATATTGACTCTGGGCACCTGGTCCCTGGTACCTGTCCTGGGCACCTGGTTCCGTATTTACTTTGGGCACCCGGTCCTCTCTACCTGTACTGGGCACCTGGTCCCCTGTACCTACTTTGGTCCCCTATACCTGCTCTGGGCTCCTTATTGGCTCTGGGCACCCGATCCTCTCTACCTGTGCTGGGCAGCTGGTCCCCTGTACTTGCTCTGGTCCCCTGTACCCGCTCTGGACACCCGCTTGGTCTCCTTTATGAGCTTTAGGAGTGGCTGCTGCCTGCACAGGTGGTCATCTGTAGAGGGACTGCATCCAGCTGCCTTTGTGGGGCTGTAGAGTACAGGAGACAATACGGGCCCTGGGAGCAGGGCTGTGTTCTTCAGCCCTGCCATTCTAGACATGGACGGCAGGAGCTGGCCTGGGTGTGTGTCTGCTCTGGAGTTAGCTGAGCCTGAGGTGTGGCTGCCAGGCCAGCCTGGATCTTCAAGAGCTGAAGGCAGATTGAGTGTACTTGATGGGCCCATGGCAGGGTGTAGTGGGTGGTGCTTTGTCCGAGAGGGCTCCTGGCTGAGGCTTGTCCCCCATCCTGCAGATGTACAAGCACTCCAACAACAAGGCCATGACCACCGGGGCCATCGCCGCCATGCTCTCCACCATTCTCTACTCACGCCGCTTCTTCCCCTACTACGTCTACAACATCATCGGCGGGCTTGATGAGGAAGGTAGGTGGCCCCTCTCCAGGGCCCAGAGGGGCAGCTGCTGGGTGGTGAGCGGGAGTCAAGCGTCCCGTGTGGCTCTGGAGCGAGTGCATTAACATGCTTTCCTCACCAGAGAGCTTACCCTGGTGTGTGTGTGTGTGTGTGTGTGTGTGTGTGTCCCCAGTAATGACAGCAAACATTGCAGTCAGTGTTGATGGGTGTCCAGGGTGCTCCGGAGTGGGAGTTGTGGGGGTCCTGAGTCACTCAAGGTGGAGTGGTGGGGGGAGCCCGTGGTCTCAGTCAGAACATATGACCTTGGACCATCTGTCTTATTACTTTGTTTCCATCTTGTTTCTGATTCGAAGCCTTGTCACCTGCTTTGTCACTTCTGTCACCGGACTGACTGGGAGGTGCTGGGCCCCTGGCCCTCACTCCGCTCCTTGTCTCCCACTTCAGACAATGGGGTGCCCAGTGCATTCCCAGCTGCACTCCCATTTTCCTGGAGGGGCATTTCCTGAACTGAGTTTCTGTACCGGCTGTTTTTTGTGTATGCCCCCCCATCCCGCCCTGCCCCCCACACCCACACCCACACACCCTCTGCAAGGCTGCCTGCTCCCTCCCCGCGTTGGCTTCCTGAGCACTGGGCCCTAAGTTCTCATCTGGATTGATTTCCTTCTCTCGGTGGTAAAGGCTGCCCAGCAGGTTTCTGATTCCAGAAGTCACGGAACAATTGAGCCGCAGTGTTCTAAAGCTGCAAGGTGTCCATCCCCACCCAGGTCTCTTGCCCTCAGCTTCATCCTCTTCCTCATGCCCCCCACCCCCAGGATTAGCCGCTAATTCTAGGCAGTTGTGTCCTTCATGTTACCCATCTCTTGTCTTGCTCTTTTAGTTTCTTACTCTTAGTTCAAAGCTTCACAGAATTGTTTATTTCTGCTCTTAATTCCAGAAGCTTTTCTTCTCCTGTTTTTAATTCACAATTTTATTTCCTTACTTTTCAATAAGTGTCAGTCTTTGAGGGGCACCGCATTGCACGAAATCTGTCTAGTGGCCTTAACAGGAAGGTTGCTCTGGAATGTGGCTGCACCCTGCCACTGTGACCATGGGCACGAGCCACCTTTCCCCAGATGACCCTGGTTTTGTTAGGTTTGCTGCCAGGAGTCATTGTGCGCTTTGTATATAGATGCACATCTTTTCCCTAAATAGAACCCACTTTCACCTCGGGTGGAAACACCTTCCACTTTAAGAAGAGCCGTGTGGTTCCAGAGACCCCATTGATAGCCTGCAGACTTGGCCTTGAAGTGGAGCCTTGCAGAAAGTTCAGAGCCTTGTTTCCAGCAGGCTCCAATATGTCGGGGAAGCCGGTTTGCCTTTTTAAACACCTTGTTCTTCAGTGGGTACAGCTGCTCTCTACAGTTTATCGAGGTTGTTTTTTGTTTGTGTATTTCTGGTGTCTTTCTTGTAAATACAGGCCTCCTTTTAATTCCTCTTGGCCTTATTCGGGTGGTCCATGTTTACAAGAACGTCTGAACCACTTGGCTGTGCGAATCTGTGCTGACTGGCACCTGACAGGCTCCCTGGGCTGATGGGGCTGAGGGTCCTACATCTGACAGGCTCCCTGGGAGGCAGATGCTGGCATGTACCTGGCTGGTGGTCCAGCCCTGGAGGAGGGACAGTGGCTAGAGGTCTCTGCTCTCTCTCTACCAGTTTCTCATCAGCTTTCCTTCCAGGCCTTTGCCCTGCCCCTTGGTGAGCCCATCGTCCACACCCAGAGCTTAATCTCTGAGAGACTGCATCTGCGGGGGACAGCCTGGAGGGTGGTATCCATAGCACTGATGTGGCCAGCCGGCCCGAGGTCTCTGCTCCCAACTGCTGTTGGCGCTCTTTTCCCCAGATTACAGCCAGGGACCGCAGTGCACATGAGCGTCACACTCCGAGAGGTGCTCCTTGTGTCCACAGTCTCCACCTGCTATGTCCACACGTGCCTCTCACACTGACACAGGTGGCGTGCCGCCACAGGTGCCCGCACTCCCTGCTGCAGACATGGCCCTTGCTCAGCACCCCTGGGTGTTGCACAACACGTGCTTAGGTGCCCACTTCCTGTTCTTCCAGCTATGTTTGGTAACCCTGGGGGTGATCGTGGACAGCGAAGCTGCTGGCTCAGCATGTGACCCACCACACTTGATGGCCTCTGTTTCCTTGCTTGTGGTTGGTTAGTTCTAAAACATTTGCTCAGTACCTCTTGTCCAGCTTTAATCTGGTCAGATGTCTCTATTGCAGTTGGGCAGCTTATCTTTGCCTGTTTTCTTCAGGCTGCCCCTACGGGAACCTCTGCTTCCTCCTCATTTGCAGCTTTGCCTTTTCCTGGTCACTTGCTCGTCTCCCTGGGAGACTCACCAGGCAGGAGTGTCTGCTGTACTCAGTCAGCCTGCCCCTTTTGTGGCTGAGATCCTTTATCTTGTCAGGCAGGGCCTCCCCACCCCAGCACCCTGTTTCCAGTGGGGCATTATCCCCTGGTCATGACCATTGGGATCTGTGGTGTGAGCAGCTGGCAGGTTCCTTTGTTCTGCATGTGCCTCTGCTGGCTCTTAGGTGCTGTACTTGTGGACCACGCCCACGCTCCTCCTCCTCCTCTGCTGCATGCGCTTCTCTGAGATGGCCCCACCCTTGGACGGAGCTGGGGCTCCCTCAGCTTAGTCCATCAGCCCCTTGACTATGCTTCTCACAGCCCCTTTTTTGACTCCTGCAGGACCTCATTTCTGGTCCTGGCAGAAACACCCCCCAGGTACTCCCAGGTGACTTCAGATGCTGTCTTGTCAGCTGTGGTCCTGGGACGGAAAGAGTGACCCTCGGGTTGGACAGGATGGTCCCAGTGCCCATCTGCTCCCCTGGATGCCGTGTGGACACTGCAGGAGTGGGCTCGATGCTGGCTGTGTTGGCTGTCTCTGAGGGGCTGGCGCGTACATCTGTACTTGTTGCCAGCTTTTTATGTGGGGGATGATGGCCGCACACTTGCTGCAGGGGAGCTGGGAGGAAGTCCCAAGCTATCTTGCCACGGCCGGTAAGGATTGATCACCGTCGAGGTCCCCCTTGGGTTCCCAGAATGAAATGGTGGTTCCTTGTTGTAGCAAGTACAAAACCGGGGCCGCAACTTGGGCAGAACTGGTTTTTGGTTGCTCTGATAGTCTCTTGTTAAGCACTAGTTATGTGATGCTGCTGTCGAGGAATGTGTGCCCTGTCTCACACACACTGGAACGCTGGCATGTCTCTGAGGTTGACCGGAGCCTGGGGCAACAAGATGGTCAGCAGCAGGTAGCTTGCAGAGCTTCCTGGTGGCAGACATGCTTAAGGGAGAAGTGGGCAGGCACCTGCAGTCGTGTGGGCTTGAGGGTAGGCCAACTTGGGGTGCTAGCCCTGACTGCGTATGTGCCAACATATGGGACCACCTCAGCCAGCATCACTCATGGCTCCTCTGAATGGAGCTCTAGTGGCTGTGAGGGGAAGTGTGTCCTCACAGAAGCTGTTCTCTCCCCAGGGAAAGGCGCCGTGTACAGCTTTGACCCAGTGGGATCCTACCAGAGAGACTCGTTTAAGGCTGGGGGCTCGGCCAGTGCCATGCTGCAGCCGCTGCTTGACAACCAGGTACGTGCTCACTCTCCATCTGCTCCCATATACCCTGTGTCCAACTTGAAGGTGCATGGGGTGCAGTCCAGGTGCTGGTGGCTGGAGCTGCTCTGTTGGACTGTTCACATCCCCCTTTGTCCTCTCCACTCAGGTTGGATTTAAGAACATGCAGAACGTGGAGCACGTCCCCCTGTCCTTGGACAGGGCGCTGCGCCTGGTGCGGGATGCCTTTATCTCTGCTGCTGAGCGAGATGTGTATACGGGGGACGCCCTGCACATCTGCATCGTCACTCGTGAGGGTATCCGGGAGGAAACCGTGCCCTTGCGGAGGGACTGAGCTGCCCACACTGTCCCTGTGGCTGTGGTCTGCAGCTTCGGTGATCTTTTTTATGGGCCTGTGGCCAGCCTGCTCATTAAAGGCTTCTGGGCATACTATGGCCACTTTGTCCTTTGTGTCTCCCCATTGTTTGTGTTTCAGGGTTAAAGCCTTCCATAAGCAGTATGACTTTTTCCTTTAAGTTAATGAGCCAGGTGTATAAGCAGAAAAGCCAATTTAGTGGTCACTGCCTCACTTTATGGGATCACTTTATTCTGAGGGGCCCTCTTAGGTTTTGTTAGTCTGGGTAGACTAGAGAAACAAATCCAGAGATACTCGTGTATGAGAAAGAGGTTTATATACAAGAGCAATTGCATATTGAGAAAACAGCCCAGTCCGGATCAAGTCCATAAGTCTGATATTAGCCCATATGTCTGATACCAGTCTACAAATTCCGCAGTATATGCAGTGATGCTGAATACAGGAAGATCCCAGGCCAGTGGGTAGAGAGTCTTGTGGATCCAGTGGTGGTGGAAGCATCTGAGCGCTGGCAGGGGTCTCCCATGTGGCTTCCTCCAGCTCCAGGGCTCTGGCTCCATCCGCATAGCTCCATGTGGCTTGTCAACAGGAATGTCTCGCAGGGAGAAAAGCAGAGTGTGTACTGTGTATCTGGCCTCCAGTAATACATCAACCTCCCTTGTGCCTCCAAATCCAGTCATTAAGCTGCAGTTTGATTTGACAGGCTAGGCTCCACCCCTTCGAAAGTAGACAGGATTTTATGTCACAGGTTCCCTCATGTCCAGGCAGTGTGCCATCAGTTTGGGTTGTCTTTAACCCACCCAAAGGGGCTGCTTGTCTTGGATTGTGACTTCATGGGTTTAAGTAGGATATCTTGGGAAGTTTATTCCTGGCATTGTAGAGAAATCAGGTTAGGATGGGTGGCTGTTTGGGAGGAATATCTCCAAGAAATTAACCAGAGTAGGCTTAGAACTGTAAAGACCTTTGGTTCCTATTGGGAGTGTCTCCCACCTGAATTTAGAAACCATCTCAAGAAAGGAAGATGGCACATTTAACACAGATGATTGAAAACCAGATGAGTTGGACACCAAAGATGTAAAACATAATGAGCCGTTGGAAATAAAGGGAAGGGGAAAAAATAATGGCAGAAGATGTGCTCTTGAAGGTCCTACAGCTACTGGAAGAAATGATGAAGTAGAACAACTGAGCAAAATTTCAAAATCTGTATCCTAAGTATTAGCCGAAATGAACTGATACTGGCCATTTTGAGTCTAAATCATATGGCTCACTATGCCAGGAATAACACAACTGGGATGGTGTTGCATTCGTTGTTAAAAAAGGACATTTCAACATTTGAAGTACAGTGGAATTTGTGATGGGATTGATTATAGCTGCCCCCATACGTGGACTACAATCAATACAACTTCAAATTTATACCCCAGCCATGAAAGCCAGTGATGAAGAAATTGAAATTCTACCAGTATCTTAAGTTGAACCATGAACAAACATGATTGAGATGCATTGATAATTACAGGCAACAATGGGGAAGGGGCAGTAGTTGGAGAATATGGGCCTGGTGATAGAAATGAAGCTGGAGATCACATGTAGAATCTTGTAAGACTAGGAACTTGTTCATGGGAAATAACTTTCCAACAGCACCAGTGATAGTCATTAACACGACCTTCTCCAGATGGGATACACACAAACCAAATCAACTGCTTTGTGGGGAGGGATGGTGGAGAAGCTCAGTAGTTGCTAAAAGTAGGTCACAGGCCCACTGTGGACCAGATCATCAATTGCTCATATATGTTTAGGTTGAAACGAAACAAGTCCACAATAGCCAAAATAAGACCTTGAGTCCCCCCCCCCCCATAATTTTGAGAACTCAAGCATAGATTTGATGCCTTGAACAAACAACAAGACCTGATGAGCTGTGGGATGACGTCAAAAACATAAAGGGTTGCTAAAAAGAGAAAGAAAAGTTCAAAATGGATGTCAGAAGAGACTGAAGCAAATGCAAGAGGTTGAAATCAAGCTGAATAGAAAACTTCAAAGCCAAATACAATGAAACGTGCAAGGACCAAGATGTAGAAAACCAAAAAGGGAAGAACATGCTCAACATCTCGTAAACTGAAAGAATTGAAGAACAACCTCAAGATAGAATTTGAAATTTTCTGTAGGCAAAATATTGAATAATGTGGGAAGCAGCAAAAGAAGATGGAAAAAATCAGTCACTACCAAAAAGAACTAGTTGACAACACACCATGTCTAGAGGTAGCACATGAGCAAGCCTCAGTGGTGCTGAAGGAAGAAGTTCAAGCTGTACTGAAAATAGCTAAAAGCAAGACTCCAGGAAGTGATGCAGTACCAATTGAAACGATTTCACAAGCCTGTGAAACACTGGAAGCACTCACTACTAGTCTGCCAGGACATTTGGAAGACTGCTACTTGGCCAAATGACTGAAAAACCTCCATATTTGAATCCATTCCAAAGATAGGTGACCCAATAGGATGCTCAAGCCTATAGAACAGTATCCTTAATATCACCTGAGTAAGATTTTGCTGAAGAGCATCCAACAACGGTTGCGGCAGTACATTGACGGGGGTCTGCCAGAGGTTGAGGCCCAATTTGGAAGAGGGTGTACAACAAAGGATATTATTGGTGCTGAGTGACAACAACGACAGATCTTGACTGAAAGCAGAGAATACCAGAAAGACGTTAACGTGTGTCTTATTGACCTTGCTAAGGCGTTCACCTGTGCATCATAAACGACAGCCTTGAGAAGAATGGGGATCCCAGAGCACTTCTGTGGAGCCTGTGCAAGGGTCAGGAGGCAGGTGTGTGAACAGCAAAGGGATCTTATAGTGTAAAATCAGATTGTGTGTTACAGTTCTTCTGTGTGCTGAGTAAATAAAACCTGAGAAGCTAAATAAAACCTAAAGAATGAGGCATCAGTACTTGGGAAGACATTCACCTGGGGATAGACAAATTGAGGCATGTTAGGCAGAGTTCTTTAAAGAAAAATACCCTTATCAGCTAATTAGTCCATAATACTATCAGCTAATTAATACAGGGTCTCAGTTCAGCTCACTTTCGTGGAACAGTCAATATACTGAAGGTCCTTCAGTCACAGTCTGCTGGTTCGAGGTCAAGGAAGCAGATGGGAGTCTACCCTAGGGTAAGACAAGTAGGGTGGGACAGCCACAGCAGGAAGATGAGAAGTTGAGGTGCAACAGAAGCCACCAGCAGTGGAAGTAGGGAAGTGGTCCCGATGGATCCTCAAGAAGCAAGGGGAAGTAGGTCTCCATGGAACCCCAAGTGAAGCTCAAATTTTGTCTTGCTTGGATCCACAATCGGTGCTCATGGAAGCAGCAGTCAACGAGACAAATGATGTATTTGATAAATCTGTACAAGACCAGAGCGTTGAAAAGCAACAACGTTACTTTGTAGGTAAGACTAAGGTGTGCCTGACACAAGCCATGATATTTTCACTTGCCTCATAGGCAGGTGGAAATTGGACATTGATGGAGATACAGTGTGGGAATTCCACCCAATCTGATCCCACCACACCGAGGCAAAACACTAAGGTTGTGGAACAGAACAGCAAGGGGAACAGAGCAACGAAGTTCCCAGGGAATACTAAAAATAGACTTTGGGGCCAGGGCTTGGTGCCCTATCAGACTCAACCAGAAAACACTCCTAAAGGCCAACAAACAGTCCTTGAACTAAACTACAAGCTTTTCTTTCTTGATGTGTTTTGCTTTGTTTTTTTGTCTTTGGCTTGTTGTTGTTGTTTTGTCTTATTTTGTTGCTTGGTTTTGCTCTGTCTTGTTTTTGTGCATGTTATTATCTCCCCAGGTCTGTCTAAATAAGATAGGCTGGATGAACAATCTGGAGGAGAAAACAACAGGACTGACAGTTCCGGGGGGGACATGGGAGAGGGGGAGGTGGGGG